GAATGCGGCTCAACAAATGTGATGACATGGCCTTTCACCCGTGACCTGTATGTAAAGGGTTATGTTGCAAGATATTTTATTTGTATTAATTTTTCATATCTCCTGTCTTGCTTTTATGATATCCTGAGGAATGATTCATTATTTTATTATCTCGACCTTTGTTCAGTAGTTATACTGATATTTACCAATATCACACTAGAACATTTATGTAATGCAACATACATAAAACAGTCTTATCATACTAATTTTGTTCTGAAATCTAGATAATTCTATTACTGTACACATATGTTGCATGGAATAATTTAAATGTTATATCATACTAATAATAACATTTATTAAAGAATAAATTATATGAACTTATTTGAATTTCTTATCTAACAAGTACTTGTTAATAAAATTTCATAAAACATACCGATATTTTTTCCACCATTATCTTACAGTAATTAATTAATTAGCAGCTATTAAATTTAATTCCATATTTTGCTATTTCATACTAATGTTTTTCATAATAATATGATTTTTTATGAGAATTATTTTAATTTGTTTTACAAAGTGTTTCAGTAATGCTGACAGTTTGATACTTATAAATTAATGTAATTTTTGGTATTGGTGCTAATGTAAGTTTGCTGTATTTGACTAGGCCCTTTTCTGCATCATTTGGTTTTTTATTTATATTTATATCTGCTATTATTATGTTAAATTATTTCATTCATTGATTTGGACAAACTAATTCAGGTTGAAATATTGATACAAATACAGTCAAGTTAAATATTTTATAACTAGAGTTTAGCAGAATATTTTGTATTTAAGCAAAAGTATAGTTTCTGTTATAGATATGCAGTATCTAATTTTTTAATCAGGCAAAAATTAATATTTTCATTTACTCATTATGATTGCTTTACCATCTTGTTAGGCTGTCTTCTACATCAGGCATTATTAGTGATGGTGCAGGGAACTACAGTGTCAACACTCAATGTACTTGGCTTATAGAAAGCTCAAATAATGTCCCAATACGTCTTTCACTTGTCAGTTTTGCAACTGAATGTAGCTGGGACCATCTATATATATTTGATGGTAGCTCTGTATATTCTCCACTTGTTGCTGCCTTCAGGTATGTGTTTCACTTCTATTAGTTCTTTTTCAGCAAATAAAAAGTTTTACATTTGCTTTTGTTTAAATACATATATATGCAACATTGTAAAGCATTTTATGTTACATTTTATTGTAACCTGTTTAATATCAAACACTTTAACAGAAAATTGTATATTTTCTAGTTTTGAGGTGTCATAAATTGTTTTATCCTTAAAAGTAGCCATTCTAGAATAAACATTCATATGTGATATATATTTTCTCAGTTAATAATATTACAGTGTGTCTGCAAAATATGACTGCATATTATTTTGATTTGCATTTTGAGCTACTTAATTTTACTTTTTTTTTGTATAATTAATTTAAAGTAGAAATGTCAAGTATCCTTGCATTCTATTTTAATTATTTTTTTTTTTTGTCTTTAGTGGGGTTTATAAAACCATGCATAATTCAACAGAATTGCCAGAAGTTGTGACCCTATCAGGCAGTGCATATCTGTATTTCTATAGTGATAATGTTTACAACATGAGTGGCTTTACCATCAGGTACAGGTATGTGTATTTACTGTAGTGAGTTTAGGAAAGCTTCTAGTTAGACCATGTGTACTGTGAATGCTACTACAGTATGATAAGCTTCTATATTGTTAAATGTACATGTAGGTATGTGTGTGTTTGATCCATGTAAGACTACAGGATGGCAGTGATTCTTAATGAAAACTCAATGAAATGTAGCAGGTAGAGGGAGAAGATAAGGTACTACAGACTAGTAACAATGTATATGGGTTTTCTGCAGGTTAGTAGCATTTACATTTTTCTCAGACTTTGTTGTGCTTCTGATCTTTTACCATGGGTTATTAATAACACATCAAATGCTTGTTGAAGAGAAAGTGATTTTTTATGGTTTCTTAACACTCATCTAATGTACAGTTTTTTGTTGTTGTTTTGTCTCTGCAGTTCAATAGATTTACATTTAATATACATATATGTCAGAAGATTTTTTCATGGTTTGTTAACTATGCATCTGATGTACATATAGTTGACTATTTTTTCTGAGTTTTTAAGGTAAGAAACTTAATGTACATATAGAGATATATTATTTTATTATGGTTTATTTCCTGCACTTTTAACTCTGTCAGAACCACAGAGCATCTTTCAAGGTATTAAGTGCTCACTGACATATCAAATTTTAATATTTAAGTAAACATAATAATTCTAACCATTTTGATATTTTGTCATTTTGTTGCATTTACAAAGAAAGATGAAAAATAAATGTTCAAACTTTTATTTCTGCACAGCTTCAATGAACCTCACCTGTAAACAACATAGCTGTTCATTTCTTTGCAATTTTTTCTTTACACGTTAGCATGAATATGTAACAGATGACTTCAAAATAAGTACTTACATTTAGATCTTTGAATTTTTTTTTTTGGTTAGGAACTCCCCCTCTCAAATTTGGTATAATTTTTTTTGTTAAAACAGTCATGAGTAGCTACACTGATTAACGTGAAAATTAACATACAAATTTAAGGAACCATTCAAAATATAAGTATGTTTAAAGATGTTTTTTGGGCTGTTAGGACTGGAGTTGTTGGTTTATTGGAAATTAGCAAGGACAGTCAAAGGGTCATTCGACGTTTAAAATAAGTATCAACCTTCATATTGGTGCTTCAAAATAGGGGTTCAGATTTTTTGTATAGAATATGTAATAGCTGCACTGATCTGTATGAAAATTGGCATGGACATGTAAGAGATAGGTCACAGTAAGTATTTATTTAGATGTTTGGGCTTCCTATTAAGTGGGATATCTAGAGGTTTTATGACAGCACTCAGGATGAGCCTCATGGATTTACTTAACAATTAATAAGAACATGTTAATATCTGTTTGAAACAAGGTATTCAAAATTACTTGTGTAGTTGCTGTTTCCAATAAATATTCATGGACGATTAAAATGTATACTTTTGAAAAAATGAGAAACTTATTTTCCGAAACACACTTACCTTTCTCACACTATAGCTTTATCCTACTCGTAATTCTGGTTTAGAGGTGACACTTAGTTATCCGGTTGAGTTGAGCTTTGGGTCCACAGCCCTATGATTCTAATGATGAGATGTGGGGCTGAATACTGTGAATTATACATTATTTAATCAAGTGTGGGGGATCTATACAGTCTGGCTGACTGACTGTGACCGGATGCATCTGGTATTGCAGGAGCAGGCTAGTTCTTATATAATTGACTCTAAATTTGTGTTTTCTTCTCACAATGTGACGATTTTGCCACTGTGGCCAATGAGCCTTTACTACCCAGGTATTAGATTTCACGTTGTCTGGGCAAAGAGCATAGTTGTTTCAGAAGTAGTGTAAATCCCATTAGTGTGTTATCACTATATTTCATTTTTGCACATCTCTTTTCTATGCAGGCACTTCCTGTAGGAATCTTGCCATCACTGGCTCATCCACTTTGACAGTGTTGGATTCTAGCTATAGTGTGTGTGTGTGTGGAAGTGTGTCTTGGAAGTTAACATTTTCTCACACAAAAAATTTATTTCCAATAATATTTATCTCTTCTCACCCTCTCCTGACCTTCCTGCCCATGATGGTTGTTATTCAGGTCTGCTAATTTGGACTGTCTCTGCAAAGTAAATAGAAAGTAATAATGGGGAGCTTATATATGGATCTAGGATAGGGAGCACATTCACATAGATGGAGAAAATCACAAGATTTAACTTGCTATAAGCAATATAGTGGGGTATAAAGGCAGGAAAAGCAAGGTAAGATTCATACCAATGCTTAGATGGGCAGAGAAGAGTAACTTTCATTGAAATAAAGATATAGTGTGAGAAGAGGTGTAAGTATTATTGGAAATGCATTTTTGGTATAGGAAAATGTTAACTTTCCCATATTTTGTGTTTATTGAATACAAATACATGATTTTTCTATATGATTTCCCTTATTTGTTAAGCATTAATGGCTGTCCAAGAAACTGCTCGGGTCGTGGCCTTTGTGTGGATGGTCAGTGTACTTGTTGGGGACATTGGTCAGGCAGTGCCTGCAACATCCCAGCATGTTCTAGAAGCTGTTCAAATGGCCAGTGTGAAATAGAAAGTGACCGATGTTTGTGTAAAGCTGGTTACAAAGGTCAGTATATTTGTTTAACTGATATTAAAAATTGAAACATTTCCTAAGGCATATTTTTACATAAGAATGTTTTTTTTACAATATAACTTATTGAGGTTGTTAATTATGAAAATGAAGGTTTTTGTATCATGTTACAGTAAGCTTGCTGTATAAAGATTGATGGAAGAAAAATTTTGTACTTCACTGGATATAATGTGATGTAAAAGTTTTTATTATTATTATACTGTTATTACAAGTGATGGGGTCATTTCAACAGATATTAAGGTATTTAGGACAAATACAACTAAGCAAAAAAAAAAATTTAAAGTGTGATTTTTTGTTTTTGTGATACATATATATACATGTACACAGTGTGGTCACAAGTAAACAGACACCACCTTTTCAGAAAAAATGAAATTTTTCAGTCATATTCACATGAATTGATATATTTATAATTTAATTAGTATCTAGTAGGTCTTCCTTTTGCTTCGTGGAGATTGTTGACCCTTTGGGGCATCGTGAGAATCATCTCGTCAATTTTAGGTTGTGGGATTTTCGACCATTCTTGCTACAAAACTTGGTGTAGATCGCTCTTCGAAGTTGGTTTTTTGGTTGTTTCTTGACTTGCCGGTCAAGTATGGCCCAGAGGTTTTTGATGGGGTTCATGTCAGGAGATTGGCTAGGCCAGGGCAACTTCTGGATACCATTTTCTTCCTGCCACTTTTGTGTGTTTCTAGCAGTGTGACACGGTGCTCCATCTTCCTGGAACAACGTTGTGTTCTTGTCAACAAAACCAGAGGAATAAAGTAGCAAGAGTCCTTCCTCCAATATTTCGACGTATTTCACAAAATTTATGTTGCCAACGCACTCCACTAAGCTCGATCTCCCACAAACCCAAACAGCTCCCCAAACCATCACGCTGAAACCACCATGCTTCACAGTTGGCTGCAATATGTTGAGCTAAAACTCTTGGTGAGGCATTCTCCAGACCCATATCCTTCCACTGTCCGAAAATAGAGCGAATCTTGATTCGTCTGAGAACAATACAGTCTTCCAAAAGTCCAGAAGCTTGGTCATCATATCACTTGCCCATTTCCTTTCGTCTGACTATGTTGGCAGGTCTTAATAAGGGCTTCCGTCTAGCTGCTCTGCAACGATAACCCAATCTGTGGAGAATCCGTTGAACAGATTTCGGGCTCATCCCACTAACTTTGGCCACTATCCATTTCGACAGCCCATTTTGTCCTCTCCAGGACGACCTGGATGCTGCTTCAGTTGTTTCCTTGGCCTGTTTCCTGAACTGCACGATGATTCTATTGACTGTCGAGAGCGGGATTC